ATGCAGTGCAGAAAGTAAGGTGGTTGGATTTTCAGTATGAGGCTAGATGATCTAGACATGCTCAAGACCCACAGGAAAAATTCCACTGACTGGAGGATTTTGGGAACTGTTGTTCCACCGTGATCAGGATCGCCTTGGGTCAAACCATTTGTGCAATGGCCACAACACAAGCAGGTTCACTGACCAACGGTAGTATCTAGGCGCTTCCTCCATAAAGGTTGAGTCTGAGATTCTTACAGGGGTCCTACAGGTGATCTTGCCTAGGAGGTAAACCTGCCATATCCTGCGGCTGCTCGGCAAGATTCAGCTCCCCCCCCCAATGTAATTTTTGCAAACTCTTCCACATTGGGTCCCTTCATAGACTCCCTCCTTTTTCTAGTTAGTTGTACCTGTCCTTAGAAGAGCAAGTTAGGCAGCATGGTGAGGGCAGGGACCAACAGGGACAAAATAGAATTACAGATGCTCCAACTTGGCTTTGGAAGATGAACAGAAATCTTACCTATGGAAGAGATGTTCTTATAATTCTCCTGCATGACCTCCCAGTATAAAACCCTTTGACCTGGATCCAGCAGGACCCACTCTGCTTGAGTGAAATACACAGCCACATCTTCGAAACTTATACAGCCCTGAAAGAAAAGAGAAAAAAATACAGTTCCAACGATAACTTTGGTAAAAAACAAGAAAGATAAATGTATTTTCCCCAATACAAAGGCCCACCTCTGCCAACCTTGAGCCCTTTCATTTTTAGTTGCTGAATGGTGACATAGCCATGTTAGCATCTCAAAGACTAAGGTCCAAGACCGAGATCAAGGGTGGCCAACCTTTTTTTCTGTCTAGGAAACCAAATTCAATTTCAGAGAAATTTTGAGGGACTACATTTTAGGAGCCAGGATGAAGAGCTAAAAAGGTGTGACTCGGCATATATTCCTATTTTAACATGAGGTTCTTGCGGTAATTAACTAGGCCCAAAGACAGGCATTTCAGTTTTTTTCTAAATGTGGAGGGGGGGAAACTACAGAAAATGGAAGACCAACAACCTATGGAACACATGAAGAGGGCAAGCTCAGAGGGCCATACTGTATTTCACCTCCAGGGCCTGATATTCCTCACCCCAACCTAGACATAGATGACTGTGAATTCAGAGGAGAGCCTGTAGAGTTGGGAGCGCTGTAACAGAATTTGAAAAACTCAAATTTTAGTCGCATCTGAACCATAAAACTTGCTAAGTGACTCTGGATCATGCCCTCTCCCCTTCCCTTTCCTAGCCTAGCTTACTTTGTAGGGCTGCTGTGAAGGTAAACATGGGAAGGATGAGAGCCGTGTATATTGAAAGAAAGAATATGCAAATGACCTCCCAAATAAATCATCATCATCATCATCATCTACTGTTAAGTCAATTTTGACTAATAGCTACCCTCTTCAAGGTTTTCTAAGTAGGGAATACAGTGGTGCCTCGATTTACGAATGTGCCAACATACAACCATTTTGAGTTACGACCAGCTCCAGCCACAAAATTTTGCTTCTACTGGAGCTTCGAGTTACGAACAGAAAAAGGCAGGGAAAAAAAGGCGAGGAATTCAAATTGCTAATCCTTGGTGGTGAAGAGACTGCTTCTTTGTAGCTCTTTTACCTCAGCAGTTAGAGAGTGTGCGAATGGAGGCTTCACACTGCCTGGTAAGGTGGTGCTTTCGACTGTACTTTTAAAAAACTGTTCTGGGTGGGTTTTGCAGCGTGGTTTTGGGCTGGGTGGTGGGATTATGTTTCTATGCTGTGATGGGTCTTGCAGGGTTTGTTTTTTATTACCCCCCCCCCAATTTTGACAATGTTTCGTTTTTGGTTTTTTTGCATTTCCGATGGGTCTTGCAGTGTTTGTCTGCTTTTCTGGCCCCCCCCCCCCTTCGGCCAGAACAGATTAATCACGTTTCTGATCGGTCTTGCAGTGTTGTTTTTTGGTTTTTTTGATGATTTTTTTCCTTCAGTTGGAACGGATTAATTGCATTTCAATGCATTCCTATGAGAAATGGTGCTTTGACTTACGACCATTTCAAGTTACGACTGGAGTTCCTGAACCAAATAAGTTCGTAACTCGAGGCACCACTGTAGTTAGAAATGCTTTACCCTTCCCTTCTTCTGGGTGTTCCATGCAGCTGTGAAGCTTACCCAAGGCTACACAGGCTGGCTCTTCTCCCAGGAGGCACAGTGGGAAATCGAATGCCCAACCTCTAGCTCCATAGCCAGATACCTAAACTACTGAGCTATCCAGCCATTCAAATAAATAAACTGATAAATCAATCAAGCCCCCTCTTTCAGGTGAAAGGAGGTCACTTTCAAAGCCGAAGGGAGTGGAGGACCAACCAGTCATTGTAATTCCCAGACAAAGCCAAGCATACACACTGCTGATTGGTTGGCCTAAAGTCTCTTCCTCCTCTTCCTCTGTGTAGTGTTCACCCTTTGTTAGGTAATACCATGTATTATTCATGTTCTATGCTAATGTGGTTGAGAGGCAGAGCCAAAAGAGATGTTAAAAAGGCGGAGCCTGAGTCAGTGAGAGAGTCTGAGTCAGGGTTTGGAATCAGAGAGAGACAGAGAGATAGTTTGGGGATCTGAGGAGTGATTAGTTTGAGAAGTGACTAGTAACCTGTGATATTTAATATAGAAGATCAATATTGATGCTTGGTGAAACTGAAATAATATGCTTATGAATTATCTTAGAAACCATCTGTAATCAATAAACCTGTTCATCTTTTCTAAGTAAAGTACGTTGATAAGGAGATCAACTGTTGGCAGCATATCAAGAGGTTTTGGTTTGCCTTTGTGAGCTCTGTGTTTGGGGAGACAAACAGGGGCCACGAGGGTGAACGTCACAATTAGTGTCCAGCAGCTGGATACGAAAGAAGCCAGTAAAGCCAGAGCTTAAAATGAATTTTTTTGAGTCAAGGGTACCTTTTTGTCAGAGGTCTGTGGTGAAGAAATGGATGACCTGCTAGAGCTTTTGTGGAAAAGTTTAGTGGTGGGGCTTCTGATCCCAGATCTGGGGGGACTAAAGATAGGGAACGACTGTAGGAAAAATGCTTGTTTATTTACCTCAGGATTTCAGAGACCTTGTGGCTAGCTTAAAATCCAAAGCTCTGAGAGCTAACGGAGTGCTTGTGGATAAAAGTGGAAGCCAGAACAGATCTGAGGGGATAGAAAAACCCAAGCAGAGGCTTGAGAAATAAAATTATTTTGGTATCTGAGAGCAGGGATAACTCAGACATAGACACAGTAACTTTAGGTTGTTAGATGTAGGGAAGTGCAACAACAATACTTACTGGAATTCAAGTAGAAAGATAGGTCCTTTTTAAAATCAGGACTAATTCTCTCAGAAGTAAACATGCCCCCCAAACGTAGCCAAAAGAGAAGTCGTGAGGCAGAGAGTTTACCTAAAGAAATGGAGGGAAATGGAGACCCTTTAACTCCAATGGAACAGGAGGAGATTGCTTGAGGGTGCCTCAGAGAGACAAAAGGATTTAAGCCCCCTAGATTTTGAGAAATGGAAATTACAAGAATTTAAATTGAAGGAATGAGAGAGAAAAAGTTAAGGAGCTAGAGATTAAAGCCAGAGCTGAGGAGAAAGCTCAGGAACTACAGCTCAAGGAATTTAGAGATGAGAGAAAAGGCCGAGGCCAGACAAATGGAATTAAGACAAAGAGAAATGGAATTTCAAATACAGATGAAACAATTAGAATTAGCCTCTCAAAATAACAACAATAATAACAGCGCTAATGAGGGAAATCTCTCAAAGATCGATCTGAAGAAATTTCCCCAATATAGGAAAGGAGATTGCCCTGAATCTTTCCTGATGTCATTTGAGAAGGCATGCTGGGACCTTGAAATTAAGGATGATGAAAGGATGATAGTTTTGAGATCACAAATAAGTGGAGATTTAGCTGAGCAGTATTCTCAGATGCCTCTGGAGCAGCCTAGAGATTCTGTTTTACCATCTCATGAGAAGAGAATACTTCCTGGAAAAAACTCTGATGTTGGGAAAGTGTGAAGGCAAGAGGAGAAGGGGACGACAGAGGACAACATGGTTGGACAGTGTCACTGAAGCTACCAACATGAATTTGACCAAACTCGGGGAGGCAGTGGAAAACAGGAGGGCCTGGTGTGCTCTGGTCCATGGAGTCATGAAAAGTCGGACATGCCTTAACGACTAAATAACAATAACAACAAAGTCAGAGACAAAAATCGTAAAAGTCTACTAGAAGCAGGTGAATAGGTGGATTACATTAATGAGTCCAGAAACCCCAGGTTTTCTAAGGTAAAATTTAACAGGCAAAACTGGGACAACAATAAGAGACCCTTCAATAAAAATTACCTCAGAAACACATAAGAAAAAGAAGGCCAGAGTAGGCCCTCGCCTCAGTTGTCAGGGCCTAGCCCGCTGAAGAGAGTGAATCCTGAGGAAAAGTTTAGTAGGTCTCCTCAGAGTGAGAGAAGTGTTTTAGACAGTGTTATAACTATGACAAGTTTGGGCATATTCAGTCAAATTGTACTAAAAACAAGAATAAAAATGGAAAAGATGATGAACAAACCAAAAAATATACTGCTTAAACACTGTGGAAGCCACTGAGGAAAGTTGTAACAATGGTTCTGTCTCCATGGCAACTAGCACAACAGAAGATTCTGATCTGCCACTAGCCAAGATCGTTCAGTGTTTTCTTGTAAAGATAGAAGATTCTTATTAATGAGAAGTCTTATGTGGGAGTGATTGATACCTGCTCCAACATAACCTTGTGCCATCCTGATGTGGTTCCTAAAGAACAAATACTTCCAAACCAAACTGTTACAATCAAGGGAATAAGTTCTACTCCAGTGACTTTACCTATGACTAAAGTAAAGATGAACTGCTGTATAGAGATTGGGTTGGAATTTGGGACGTGGCAATTTCTGATCAAATTCCAGCACCTTGTTTAATTGGGCTAGATCTCACTAAGCATGTGCAGAGTGCTTTTGGAGTAACATGTTCCCTGGGAGAGCAGTTAACAATCCCTGAGGGAAAAATGGAATTCCTAGCCTCTGAATCAAACAAAGGAAGCCCCAGGTTAAACAATAACCCTGAGGTAGCAGAAATGGCTGATAAGGTTATCTTGAAACCCCCTAATGGTGCTTCCTGTATTGGTGAACAGAAGGAAGATACAGTAGTACTTTAAATGATTGTATTACAAAAGCTAGAGAGAATCCCATTCCACTGACCCCTGAACACCTAGAGAGGTCTATAACTGATAAAGACCTCATGTATAGAGGGTTTAAACTTGATAGAGCATGTTAAGAGTGCTTTTGTACTTACACACTCACAAGGGGGCTAGAAATTACCCACTGCAGCAGAAATGGATACTGTAGCAGAGGGAAGACTGGAATGAGAAAGTTTCTTGGATAGTCAATAGCTGTTCAGAAACTGATCTCATGCTTTTGAAAAAAATAGTTTTGCCCAGTAGCAGAAGGAGGACACTAGCTTGGTGGGTTGCTTTGGGGCTACCAGTTCACCTACTTTATTGTCTCCTGAGTGCCCTGAGAGATCTTGCCTAGACAAGGATCTTTTATATAGGGAAAAAGTCCTTAGAAATGGCAGAGCCAAGCTTGG